GATTGATTGATTAATCAAGAAAATAATTGTCAGATTACTCCATAAACAAAGTAGTTTTGACCAGCAGCACTGTCTTCATTTATGTTACCCAGGGATGTCCTGTCTTGTTTCTTTCAGACTGGTTCAGGATGGTAAAGACGCTGTGAGAGAAGGCGATTTGCACAAAGCGCTTCAGTTCTTCAAGTCAGCTCACAACATTCAGCAGAGTCAAAAACTTGAGAGCAGGATAAAGAAAATTGAAGACTTTATTGCTCAGGATGACTTGAAGGATGAAGATGAAGAGTATGTCAATGTGAAAAACTGTGGGCTTATGCTTTTTAAGGACTTGCATGACAAACTTTACGACTACCAAAGACATGGAGTGGCCTTCTTATACAGTCTCTACAGAGATGGTCGTAAGGGGGGGATTCTGGCTGACGACATGGGCCTCGGTAAAACCATACAGGTCATATCTTTCCTCTCCGGTATGTACGATAATGAACTGGTTAAGCACATTCTGCTCATCATGCCAACTTCTCTCCTAACAAACTGGACCAAGGAATTTGCCAAATGGACTCCCGGCATTAGAGTCAAAGGGTTTCATGGTGCTAGCAAAGCAGAGAGGACCAGAAATTTGGAGAAAGTTCAGAGGAGAGGTGGGGTTATCATCACCACCTACAATATGCTTCTAAACAACTGGCAACAGCTCTCGTCATACCACAACAGAGAGTTTGTATGGGATTATATGGTCCTGGATGAGGCACACAAGATCAAATCTTCAGCCACCAAAACGGCAAAGAGTGCCTATGCCATACCATCAAAAAACAGAGTTCTTCTCACAGGAACTCCAGTGCAGAACAACCTGAGAGAAATGTGGGCTCTCTTCGACTTCGCTTGTCAGGGCACTCTCCTCGGGACTGCTAAAACATTCAAAGCAGAGTATGAGAACCCCATCACCCGTGCCAGGGAGAAGGACGCCACTCCAGGGGAAAAGGCTCTGGGCTCACGCATGTCTGAAACCCTGATGGCCATAATAAAACCATACTTCCTCCGCAGGACAAAGACTGAAATCCAGAAAGAGAAAACGAATGGTGCACATCCAACCAAGGAGGAAAATTCTGACAACAAGGAGAACCAAGTCCCACACCATCAGAAAGACTCTGGAGCAGTCACGCCAAAACTGACAAGAAAGAACGACCTGATTGTCTGGACTTATCTGAGCTCAGTTCAGGAGGAAATATACAGGCAGTTCATTTCACTGGACCACATCAAGGAGCTGCTCATGACCAGCAGATCCCCCTTAGCTGAGCTAAACATACTGAAAAAGCTGTGCGACCATCCCAGACTGCTCTCTGCTGGAGCCATAGCTAAGTT